GCTGTTGCTCAAATCCACCAATTACTGCATTCATGAAAAGTTTCCTAGTGAATGTATTACATATGCTGTGTTCTTTGATTGATTTCTTAAGCATCTCAATGATCTAGGCTGAATTCTGCAATTATGTCCCCTGGTGCAGCTAATAAAAAAACAAAGCAGAAAAAAGGTGAAGGCATGCATGCCATGACAGACTTCATCTTCCTTTTCAAACAATATCCCTATCTAGAGATTAGCAAGGAGACATACAATTGTTGATGACGAAAATTTCTCAGAAACCACTACACCACTAGGCCCACTGCACTTGATGCTATAACTATCTCTCTTGATTCCTAAAGTAGCTGGCTCCCATATATCCAGAAATCCCGTCTGTTAAGACCAAAGGAAAGTGAAACAGATAAAGCAACCAAATAATAATCAACATGGAGTATCAGCTTAACTTTATATTGAACTTCAGAGTAAAAAATAGATCCGCTAAGAACTTGGTTAGACATCATACCGACAAGGACACCTTATATGAAGCATGACCACTGTAAAGTGTCCTCTCTATGCAGTGCTGCATTTCAACATCTGCAATTAGAGACTCCAATCAGTACTAATTAGTTAAAAAATCTATCAAAAGTTCAGAACAAATGGTTACACCCACTGGTGATAACAATGTGTGACCTATCAAGCATTTTTTTTTGTCAGCACAGAAACAAGAGATATAAAATAGCATCCGAAAAGTAACATTAAGCTAATATAAGTTTGGGATAAATCCAAGAAAAAACGTAAAGTGTCTAGTCCAGATAACATCGGTGGTGACACAAGGTAGGTACTGGAGGACATCTAACACTAACATTCAGAGCACATATTTAGCAGGTGGACCGGACCAAGGTTTCAATTGTTCTAACTCATGGTATAGTTTAATCTCATGAGTCAGTCAACAGGATACCCAACATCCACCAGCGTCTACGTAGCCTGTTTGGTAGGAGTTGCTGGTATCAGAGCAGAAGGGAAAGGGTTTGAGAAGGGAAAATGCAACGAAAAAGTAAAGCTAAACAAAGAAAACCAATTCGTAAGGCCCATTTCTAAAAACTGTCAGACAAACTACAATTAAGAAAATAAAAAAGGATTCAAAACTTAGCCAAAACAGCAGAGGAAGCTGAAAAAAGAAACTCGCGTAAATATCCTACTCTAATTCCCACTCTTAGAATTGCAAAAGAGACACAAGTTAAATGTACAACGAAAACAGATTTTATGACTGTCCAACAGAAAAAACAAGAGTAGAAAAAAGTAGTGTAAGACAAAATGAAAGCTTGTGCTTTTAAATTGTAAAAGGCGGCTACAGAAAAGCAAGTCATAGCTTTTTCACAGACAAGAGGATCTGACAAGAATCCAAAAGGTTGTAACTGCTTCCAAGCATAATCCAGAGACCATCAGAACAAGTAATCTATAGCAGGAATCATCCAACTTCCAGTTTCTTCAATTCAGCACCAGTTAGCCCTTCAATTATTTTGACAAATCAACCAGATAGCCTTTCTTTGACAAATCATACAACTTCTCTTATTGAAAGCATATTGTTGTTAAACCACAGGTTTTATACAAATACCAATTTTACCACCAACTTTTTTGAACAGTAAACGCAGCAAGAAATAAAACTTCAAAAATCCTACCCCCTCTGCTCTCCCCCACCCTTCCCCTCTCAGATTTGGTCACGCGACCAGATCTGCGAGGGGGAGGGAGGCCAGGAATGTGGAGGCATGGGGAAACCAGATGGGGAAAGGGTGGCGGGGGAGGCCAAAGGGGAAGGTGAGGTGGTGGGGTAGGTGGTACGGAGGAGGGGAGGAAGAGAGGAACAAGGGAGGAGGAAAACATGGGGGGTAGGAGAAAGGGTGGAGGAAGAGAGGAAAATGGGAGGTGGCAGAGGGAGGCAGGAGGAGAAAGGTGAGGTGGTGGGGGAGGAGGGAGGAAGAGAGGAGTGAGCGAGGAGAGAATTGGGGGGGGGTGGTAAAAAAATTACCCCAATATATTTCTAAATTTTAAGAATGCCCTAGGATAATTGTGAAATTTTGGAGATATATTGTTGCGGTAAAGTTTTTGAAAAACACCTAATCAATACAGACACATCAATATACACACACACATACATATATATAGATATGTCTATAAAGACATGTCTGTGTGTGTGTGTGTGTGTGTGTCTTTATACACGTATGCGCACGTGTATGCGCACGCGCACACACACACATACATATACATGTATATATACACACACACTATTACACGCAGGGAAGTTGCAACTAACAAATAAATCAAACAGCTTCACCGTCATCAATAAAAAAAACCCTCCTCATATATGCAGGAAATTGCAACAAATTATACTTCTTGTACTGGGAAGGAGATTATTTGGAATAATATTTTGTAAAAACACTGCAGTGCTTTTTGTGATGTAATGTATGCGAGATAAAAAGGTGGATAGAAATATAAAAGGATAGTTGCAAAACATGTTTGTGGTCTAGTTTTCTATACTGATGTCTCTTGGCTTGGAATTATTCCCTGAAATCCTTCAGCCATTTGACTCTTGCAGATAAAGGATTTAGGCTTGGGTTTTTTCCCTTTTTTTTATGTTTGATTTTATTTCTTTACTCATTTATTTATCTTTTATGCAGGGGAAGTGTGGGATTTAAGAAACGGGAAAGGGGAGGGGGGATTTGAATCCAGGACCTCTAATTCCCAAGCCTCAACCTTAGCCACTAAACCAAGGCCTCCTTGACAGTTAACATTTCATTGATACCAAAAGGCCAAATTCATATGACTAACATAGTTTAAGAACTACAGTAGTCCTTCTAAAATCATTAGGGACTTTCAGGGTAAAATACCCTCATAGATTACCATAGCCAAAGTTGATGATTGGTACGAATTAGCAGCACAACAGCCACTCATCAATCTATTTAACTGAACACCACTCTTGTTCATAAAAACATTCCTGTCAAGCACATCAATATGTTTAATCCATTTTGCTTCTGTGCAAACCCATAACACAACAATAGTGGTCAACCAGGTTCAAAATTCCATAAGAGACAGTCATGATCAGCTCATTTTGCTCTTCATGCTCCACATTATGCTGATAGAGGCCAACTCCTTAATGACAAAGATCACATGCACTAGTTGTAAACCCTGCTTATTTGTTTCCCTCTACCAGCCTAGTAGGAATTCAATAAAGTCGTACTATCATCAAAAGGAATTTACCATGTACTGTGGCGCCAGAAGGAAAACTTTAGAACACTTCTGCAGCTGATTTGCAGTAGTACATCAAACTCATTTCCACAAGTTCTTTAGAAGAATCTTCTGAAAACACCTAACGCTTACTTCAAGGAAGTTCTATGCTGGAGATACAAAAATGAGTTTGCAACCTGACTCTTTCTAAAATCTAAGCAAACATTCTCTTTCTGAACTACCAAACTTCCACTGCCCCTATTGGGAACTTTCTCAACAAATCATTGCAGTAAAAGTCAATCCATAAAACAGAAGTACATAAACAAACACAAGTTCAAATTTCAGATATTAATAAATTAAAAAGTTGAATAGATTACCGCAAGTGATCTTTCTATGTTCATTGGCAAAAACTTTTACCAGTTCCCCCTGAAAAGTCAAGGAGATGAAAACATGTCAGACTCCATAGACAAGGATTACCAACAGGAGAGTGAATAAACACCACCAAAACCACTCCAAACTAAGATTAGATTTTAGTTCAATGACATCATTTTTGGCATTATAGATTAAATGCATATTGGCACATATCCAGAAATACAACAGTAATAGATGTGCCCTTAATCACCATTTAGAAATAGTGTATGATGGGCTTCCTACAGTAGTTTTAAGACAAAAGTCAGATATCAAATATCAAAGAACACTAAAGAAGACAAAACTTTCAATTGCATGAATAACCCACTGAGAACAGAAACACTAATTTTGAAACAGAATGCCCATCATAGACTTGTTTTTCAACGTCCGAATAATACAGTTCTACAGCTAGCTATAAAGTAACAGAAATCTATATCAAGATCCAACACTTCAGTTGTGTGAAACACAAAGCAATCAAACACTGCTCCAGAGGAGATATGGACAAAACATTAACAATTAGATGTTGAGGCCATTCTCCCTACCAACAAGCTCATTATTGAGCCAAATTTTCCACTGAGTTTTTGAATTTGGTGGATAGCGTTACAAGTAATTCATCAAATTGTGAGATTTGACGACTATATGTAGTACATGAACTTCATTTAACACTTCTAGATGTATAGCATTTCAGAAGCTCATTCTTTTGTGACTTTAGATGACATCTAATCCAACATTAATCTAATGTTTCTGCATTCTGTTATTCACAACAGATTGTAACTTCTTATTGTCGAAGATATTATCTCCTATGATTATGGGAGATATTATCTTCCATAATTATCTCCCATGATCATGAGAGATATTACCTCCCATGATTATGGGATTTTATTGCTTATGATCAATCAGGTTTGAATAGATAGGATATGAGTTGATTATGTAATCCCTAAAATCATGGTTCTATTACCTTAAGTGGTGGCAGAACTATGATAGGGTTGTCCTATAAATGCCTACCTTGTAAGCATATTTAGGGTGTGGGAAAATAAAGAAAAGTAGAGTTTTTTGTTCATTTTTCTTTTCTTTTAAAGATTTACATGGTATCAGAGCTCCGGCTCTGTACCAATCCCTGCCATGAACTACCGAGCAGCCATGACTGGATCGACTGCTCACACAAGAGAAGACTCATCCTCGTCTTCAGTAGTTATCCAAACTACAGATTACTCCGCTTCAAATTCTTCTTCCCTACAAATAACCGTTCATAAATTAAATGGTTCCAATTATCTGGAATGGGCTCAATCCGTAAAACTGGCTATCGATGGCAGAGGTAAACTCGGCCACCTTACTGGAGAAATTCAACAACCAGCTGCTGAAGATCCCAATTTGAAGAGATGGCATTTAGAGAACTCTCTAGTTATCGCTTGGTTGATAAACTCTATCGATAGGAAAGCCACACTTATTTCTGCCCACAGCCAAGGATGTGTGGGACGCTGTCCGGGATATGTATTCCGATATAGAGAATTCATCTCAAATTTTCAATCTCAAGACGAAATTGTGGAAATCAAGACAAGAAGATAGAGATGTTACAACCTACTACAATCAGATGGTAACTTTATGGCAGGAATTGGATCTTTGTTATGAGGATGAATGGGACTGCCGTGCAGACAGTGTTCGATACAAAAAACGGGAGGAGAACGACAGAGTCTATGTCTTCTTGGCCGGACTAAATCAAGAACTTGATGAGGTGCGAGGTCGTATTTTGGGCAGGAAGCCTCTCCCCTCCATTCGTGAAGTATTTTCTGAGGTCAGAAGAGAAGAATCAAGGCGTAAGGTGATGCTAAAGTCCAAGGCAGAGGATGAAGTTGAGACTTCAGCATTGGTTTCTAAGGGGACAGATTTGGACGGAGATAAAAGAAGGAAGCCTTGGTGTGAACACTGTAAAAAGTCGTGGCACACAAAGGACACGTGCTGGAAATTACATGGGAAACCATCGAATTTCAAGAAGAAAAATGGAGGTGATAGCAAGGTGTTGCAGACTGTGAATGAGGATTCTCAAAAGCAACAAATTGACTCTGAGACACCAGCCTTCACAAAGGAACAATTAAGCCAACTGTACAAACTCTTTAAGTCTCCACAATTTTCAGTCACTGAGCCAAAAAGCTTCACTCCTTTCTGTTCTTTTGCTAAAAATGGTAATCCTTTTACTGTTGCTCTTTCATGTAAAACATCAAATGCATCTTGTCCACGGATTGTATGGGTTATTGATTCTGGGGCCACTGACCATATGACTAGTTTGTCACAATTATTTTCTACCTACAGTCCATGTGCAGGCAATAAAAGGGTCAAGGTTGCTGACGGATCATTATCCGTCATAGCTGGCATAGGTTCCGTTGTCATCTCTCCTACTCTAACACTTCATAGAGTTCTTCATGTTCCAAAGTTATCATGCAATTTGCTGGCCATAAGTAAATTAACTAGGGATCTCATGTGTCGGATTAATTTTTTCCCCTCTTTTTGTGAGTTTCAGGAACTGACCACGGGGAGGATGATTGGATGTGCTAGAGAAAATGGGGGACTTTACTTCCTTGAAGATGGATCAAATATGACAACACCAATCAAAAACACATGTTACGGGTCTGTCTCTATTACTAGTAATAAAGAGATTATGTTATGGCACTTTAGACTAGGACATCCTAGTTTTTATTACATGAAATACTTATTTCCAGATTTGTTTAAGAATAAAGATTCATCTTCCTTTCAATGTGAAATCTGCGAATTGGCTAAACATCATCGGTCTACATTTTCTATACATCCTTATCAACCCTCAAAACCGTTTTTTCTATTACACACTGATGTTTGGGGTCCCTCTAGAATTTCAACTTCATCTGGAAAAAAATGGTTTGTTACATTCATCGATGATCACACAAGAGTTTGTTGGGTGTATTTGTTAAGAGAGAAATCAGAGGTTGCAAGTGTGTTTCAAAAATTCTACAGCATGGTTTTGACACAATTTCAAGAAAAAATCAAAATTGTTCGGAGTGACAATGGAAAAGAATATTTCAATAAAATTTTGGGAAGTTTTTTTCTTGAAAAAGGGATTGTGCATCAAAGCTCCTGCAATGATACCCCACAACAGAATGGGGTAGCTGAAAGAAAAAATAAACATCTTTTAGAAGTGGCGAGGGCATTACTTTTTTCAAGAAATGTTCCTAAATATCTATGGGGCGAAGCAATTTTAACTGCTACATATCTCATAAACAGAATGCCCTCAAGAACCTTGAATTTCCAAACTCCTCTGAATTTTTTCAAAACCATTTATCCCATGTCTCGATTAACATATGAAGTCTCATTAAAGGTGTTTGGGTGCATATCCTTTGTTCACAATCATGAACAAGGTCGAAGTAAGTTAGACCCTCGAGCAAGAAAATGCATTTTTGTTGGATATGCACCCACGCAAAAGGGGTATAAATGCTTTGACCCCATTTCGAAAAAAATGTTTGTAACCATGGATGTAACATTCTTTGAAGATAAACCTTTCTTTGGAGATCCTCTTCAGGGGGGGACTCGGTATGTAGAAGAACCTGTAGAAGATGATGATGTTTTTCGTATTGAAAATCAAATTTCTGATCAAAATTTTGTTGATAGGAGAATTGATTTTTCTGATTTTTTAGAAGAATCTACAGCAGCATTTCCTCAACAAGAATCTTTTCAAGATAATAATCCTGAAAAATCAAATGACACTCTTCAATTTGCCCGTAAAAAGGATTTTGAAAATCGTGAAAAAATTGATCATGGATTAGAAGAGGATCTCTTGTCTTTAGTGCCAATAACAGAGTCGAATTCTCTTAGTGAAAGAGATGGGAATGTAACTGAAAAAACCTTGAAAACCTATGTCAGGAAAAATCATCGAGGAAAAGATAAAGCTCCCCCTTCTCTTCACAACAAGGAATCCGAACCTAGGGCAGTTTTTGATGTTTTTGAGTCATCAGATAAAGTTTCCTCTGATTCAAAGATTGCTGATCTGGATCTTCCTATTGCACTTCGAAAGGGAGTGCGTTCTTGTACCAAACACCCTATGACTAACTATGTTTCTTATGAAAAGTTATCCCCTACCTTCTTGACATTTACTTCACAACTTTCTTCTGTGGAAATTCCAAAGAATGTACAGGAAGCATTACAAGTTCCAGAGTGGAGAAAGGCTATTGAAGAAGAGATGTATGCTCTTGAGAAGAATCAAACATGGGAAGTAACAAACCTGCCACAAGGGAAAAAGACGGTAGGGTGTAAATGGGTCTTTACCATCAAGTATAATTCCGATGGGACATTGGAACGGTACAAAGCTCGATTGGTGGCTAAAGGGTTTACTCAAACCTACGGGATCGATTATCTTGAAACTTTTGCTCCAGTGGCAAAATTAAACACTATTAGGGTGCTTCTCTCAATAGCAGTAAATCTTGATTGGCCACTCCAACAACTTGATGTCAAGAATGCATTTTTAAATGGTGATCTGGAGGAAGAGGTGTACATGGATTCTCCCCCTGGATTTGAAGGGAAGTTTCAGTCTAGAGTTTGCAAGCTAAAAAAATCGTTATATGGTCTCAAACAATCTCCTAGGGCCTGGTTTGAAAAATTTACTAGGTCGGTGAAGGATCAAGGCTATATCCAAGCTCAGAGTGATCACACCATGTTTGTTAAACACTCCAAGGACGGGAAGATAGCAGTACTCATTGTGTACGTGGATGATATCATCCTCACAGGAGATGACTTAATTGAGATGGAACGGCTGAAGAAAAGTCTTGCTTCTAGCTTTGAAATCAAAGATTTGGGAACACTACGATATTTCTTAGGGATGGAGGTAGCTCGGTCCAAGAAGGGCATCGTTGTGTCCCAACGCAAGTATGTTTTGGATCTTTTAAAGGAAACAGGGATGAGTGGATGTCGACCTGCAGACACTCCTATGGATCCGAATCACAAGTTAGCAGATATAAAAGATGGAACACCAGTTGATACTTCTCGATACCAAAAGTTAGTAGGCAAGCTAATTTACTTGGCTCACACTCGTCCTGATATAGCTTTTTCAGTGAGTGTTGTGAGCCAGTTTATGCATTCTCCATATGAAGAGCACCTTGATGCAGTATATCAAATTCTGAGGTACTTAAAAAGTACTCCAGGAAAGGGATTGTTTTTTAAAAGAGGAGATCGAAAGACCATTGAAGCTTATACAGATGCTGATTGGGCAGGATCAGTGATTGATAGAAGATCAACCTCGGGGTATTGTACCTTTGTATGGGGCAATTTGGTTACTTGGAGAAGTAAGAAACAAAGTGTTGTAGCTCGTAGTAGTGCAGAAGCAGAGTACCGAGCTATGGCTCATGGTGTGTGTGAGATGTTATGGCTGAAGAGAGTTTTAGAGGAGCTGAAAAGACCTATTGAACTTCCAATGAAGCTCTATTGTGATAACCAGGCGGCAATTAGCATAGCTCATAATCCTGTGCAACATGATAGAACCAAACATATTGAGATTGATCGCCACTTCATAAAAGAGAAACTTGAAGGAGGAATTATCTGCATGCCATTCGTTCCATCAGCTCAGCAGATAGCTGACATTCTCACCAAAGGACTCCTCAGACCCAATTTTGAATTTCTTACAAGCAAGTTGGACATGATAAATATATATGCACCAACTTGAGGGGGGGTGTCGAAGATATTATCTCCTATGATTATGGGAGATATTATCTTCCATAATTATCTCCCATGATCATGAGAGATATTACCTCCCATGATTATGGGATTTTATTGCTTATGATCAATCAGGTTTGAATAGATAGGATATGAGTTGATTATGTAATCCCTAAAATCATGGTTCTATTACCTTAAGTGGTGGCAGAACTATGATAGGGTTGTCCTATAAATGCCTACCTTGTAAGCATATTTAGGGTGTGGGAAAATAAAGAAAAGTAGAGTTTTTTGTTCATTTTTCTTTTCTTTTAAAGATTTACATTAATCATACACAATGATAAAGTTTGAGAATATGATGTTTGAAAGGCTCAAGTACAGAGTCATCAAGCCTCCATCACTGGGGAGGCCGGGGGGGGAGCTCTGGAGCTGTTTCATATGTATCCTGGAAACAGGATTGGAGTAGGAACCAAATGTGCTTGGTTGCAAATTTAGACACAAAATGTCAACCAACCTGATTTTAAGAACATATGAACCACATTGAACAATGAAGTCTCACCATAAACAACTAAAATGTACTAGAGCTCTATCAATAATGTGACCAGGAAGTTGCACTAAACACTGACCAGTTATAAGCTAAGCAAAAGGTTTTGAAATATTTTTGACCTCTCTTGTAGGATAGAAGTATCTATTCTATTATATTGTGCATATATCATCATCTCCTTCAAACCTTGAAGCTGAAGCACTGACCCACTGCAATTTCTGACTTGTAAGTTTGAAGGATGATTAACCAATCTGTCTTTTGGACTATCTCGCAATTCTTACTCGGGGAGTTTTTCAAGCCATACTGGAGGAGGTCAATATATTAGTTCAATTTTCTCTAAAGACCGGCAAAACTTCAAGCCATCCTTTGGGTATTTGGGAGTTCGTCTAAAACTTCACTGGATCAAAGAAGTTGTTTTGGGAATTTGTCCAAAAACCCAAAGGATTAATGGATTTTCACAAACACCCCCTCCCCCACCTCCCCTCCCTCCATCCAATCTTCTCCCCTCCTTCCTCGAACCACCAACCACTTACTCCACCCAGCACCCCTCCTCCTTCGCCTCTTCTATCCCGCCTCCACCTCCACCTCCATCCCCATAACCACCACCACCCCCTCCCCTTCTCTCCCTCCCCCTCTTTACCACTCCACCACCCAACCCGCCACCACCCCTTTTTCTGCCTCCCCTCTTTCCCCTCACCCCCACTTCCCTTCCCTATCTGGTGGTTACACATGGCATAAGAAAAGAAGCCACAGCAACAGCAGTGCGTAAGATAGGCAGCAAGAAGGTCATGGCATATTCGGAAAAACTAGTCTTAGTTGCACAAAGAATAAGAAAAGAAGGCACAGCAACAGCAGTGGGTAAGATAGGGGGAGAAGGCCATGGCATATTTGGAAAAACTGATCTTTTTGCCTTGTTGCCTCACCACAAATACATTTTAAATGCTATGCAAAATGACAGCAATCATCAACCATGCTAAATCTGGGCCAATGAAATCCTTACTCGACAACAAAGGAGAACAGACCCCTATCCATACATTTGACTGATATAATAACATGCAAGTGAATAATGCACAAAACAGTAAATGTAGCCCTACTATCTTAAACTATAAGCGTTAATTCTAGATTGTACAATGAAAAAATAAAATAAAATATAGTCAGAGGGAGAAGGTGGGAGCGTATAGAATGCCTCGCAGAAGGGTGACATGTATAAGCTTCAGAGAGGAGAATAGGCAAGTACAAAATTGGGTGAGGAGACTAATTCATGATGTTTCTTGTCCTGCTAGGCTTAGAGATAAAGAAGTTTAGCTCCTTTAAACACTTTTGGCAGTTTCACTAGTCAATGATTATGAGACATGACCTACTGAGCAGTATGTTACCCTTGGAACCCACAAAGGCAAGATCTCTCTCCTTCGCTTTACCTCTTTCCTACTTCAAGCATGACTAAAAAATTAATTGTTGGCATTCTCTTTTACTACTTCAAGCATGAATAAAAAAATAATTGTTGCATTCTTTGATGCTTTGAAATGAATGAAAAGGCAATTAGATGGGCAACAGACGAATATCCTAATTTTACTGATCAGCAATTACAGCAATAACTAAAATCAGAACAACAGTAATTCTCAATTAATATAATCAGGAAGCAGATAAAACTAATATTCATTTAATTTACCAACAAATCAGGTTTACTGCAACTAAAAGAGGAAGTAGATCACTAGCCAGTAAGAGAGACACTGTACCTTCCGCTTCCTGTTGTCCAGTGGTTGGACTTCAATAGCAAGGTACGTATCTACATCATCTGCAGCA